AATAAGGAATCTACAGCTCAATGGTTAGTGCGTCAGTGTTTCAACCCAAGGGTCCCGGGTTCGATCACCTGGATTTTTGTTTCCGAGTACCCCTAGTACTATTTTTTAAATAGTTGTGGATCGCGAAACAATTAGCCGGATATTACACAGGGTCACGAAACTATCTGTTTCCTATTTGTTTCGTGAATCCAGGACTATTCATTTTTTTGTACTTGATTAATGTATTTATTCCAACTATCTTGTGAATAGTTCGAGATTGCGAAACACTAGCGAAACACCGTATCCGGAAGATTCTCGACCAATTAAAGTGACTCATTTCATTTACACTCATGTCCAAAAAGCGAGGTGTGGAAGCTGCAAGCCTCGTCGAAGGGGATGCAGGCGACCACATAATGCAGCTCCGCGTGGTAGGACGAACCAGGTCACAATACAGTACTATGCTCGCGCATTTTCAACGATGGCTTATCCACAACAACCCCGATTTGGTTAAAAACAACAGCATTTGTCTGCCCATTCCACCAGGCGTTTGCCAAGCATACCTCACGTTCGTATCGACGAAACGCGACGCACAAGGCAATGAGCTAGTGCCACAACTCCACAACTCATACTCCACAATCAACGGGTACAAGAGCGCAATAAAGTTTCTTTACTCGGAAAGAAAGTGTGATGCTTCGGTTGAGTTAGAGTTGACGTTGAAACGTAAGCATTATACCTACACTGTAGTGTGTAACTAAACCCCTATGTAGAATTTGCGAAAGGGTACAAGCGACACGTAGCTCAGCTGAAGGAAGATGGCGAAATCCCCATGAGGGAGGGAAAATGCCCCATGCCAAAAGAGGGTAGCAGTTATTTCAGTTGTTCTTACGCTTAGCAACAATATCAATATATATTTGTGAAACTAGGCTACATGTTTCTGGCCATGATGGCTGCTTCGAACGGCACGAACTGCGCTCATTATGCTTACGTGCATTGCTTCCTTCTGTTTGCGTGGAACCTTATTGCACGTGCAGCTTCGGTTTCCTCCATTAGATTCGATCACATTTCGTGGGAAGGTTAGAGTTGATACATATATTTTGATATTAGTTTATCGCATTAATCGTCAAAAATAGATGATGCTTTGATTGTCAAGTTCGGCAGAATGAAAAATGACCAAGACGGGTCGTCGTGCTTACCCAAGCATGTGTACGCAAACCCGAAGGAACCATCCATATGCGCAGTGCTGAGGTACATAAACATACAAGTAGTAATATATATAATATTTGTAGCTTTGCGGTGCTTGTGTTTTCCAAAGGATCCCAGCGCGATTTGAAGTCAACGCTAATTTTTGGGCAAAACGCGAAGGAACGGTTTTCAACATGGGTCCAGCGGACATGTGAGAACGAGCGCGACCGTTTTGCCGCAATGGGTTTGTCCGTTGATGACGTGGGAACGCACTCCTTTCGTAAGGGGGTTTCGACTGCGCTCTCCAACACTCCTGGTGGACCTCAAGCAGTTTCAGTGTGGTTACGGGCTGGGTGGAGCCTGGGCAGCGTTCAGAAACGATACATTTTTGCTGGTGCTGGAGGTGACCAACATGTTGGACGAGCAGCAGCGGGTAATATATTTTTTGTGGCGTGATGTTTGTCTATTAATTTAAATTTATGACGTGCATTCCTTAGGTTTGGATATGAACAGCAAGGATTTTGGGGTGTTGCCCCCACACTTCGTTGGTTCGATTCTATCCAACAATGAGTGGGAATCTATTTTGCCTGGCTTTCAGTCGTTCTACCCATCGACGTTTCGTTGTGTGCTTCCATTCCTCCTCGCATCCATCGTCCACCACCAGGAATGGCTTCGATCAACGCTCCATACGTCACACCCATTGTTTCTGTCGCTGTTGTGGACGTCCGGTGTGGTCCAGCAACTCACACCACGGGTACAGCTTGGGTCGATGTCCAATAGTACGTCGTCGTTGTTTGCTTCTGGTGTACCTCCTCATGTCACACTGGCACACCGATTGAGTCAAGTCGAGAGTGGATTGGCTGCTCTAACGTCCACAGTTGATGTTGGGTTAAAGTCCCTACCTGATCAACTTTGCTCCAGTGTCGTTGCAGCGATGTCAACTGCACCTGCTGTCTGTGTTTCCTGGTCTGGCATTGATGAAAGAATCACTCAGCGCACCGAGTCGTTTTTTTCCGAATTGAATTCTCGCCTAATTACCACCAATACTGTCCCTACAACAGCCTTGGGCCAAGGCGAACTGCACAATAGTGAAGTGGAACGTGAAACACACCCGTGTTTGCAGTGGACATGGAATGGAAAAATCCACGCCGTCCCACAAGGGTTTGAGTTTCCAACATGCAAAGTCATAGATTTGTGGAACCTGTGGTGGCTTGGGATTCCCACGGAAAAGATCGGCCCCCTTCGGCGGTTAAAGACCTGGGACATTTCCAGGGCGGGTGCTGGGAACCTCTCCAAAGCGCGTCATGTTATCAACACCATTGTGTCCTTCTCAAACCTGAGTGGCAGCGACATGGAGCGCTTGGCGCTGTCCAAGCTCCACGAACAATTTCGCCCATGTTTCTTACGTGCCTCACAGTGGACGTATGGTGAAATGACATCGGAGGAGTTGCGGCGTAGGAACGTTGATGACATTAGTTACATCACATTTTATAGTGCCATCAAAAGTAGACAGAAGGCTGCGTAGTCAAAACCATTTAATGGCAATTTATATTGATGTCAACTTTATTGTCAATCAATACATCGAACCACTACAAAACGCGATGCCGTGGCTTTGAACATACAGCAGCAAACAACACAATTGCTCAAAAACTATGCACTCATTGATTTGAACAGAAAAATACCTATCATGAACCGGGGGAGCGTATGACACACAGTGCTCTTGCGGTACGTGCGTTCAAATCGATGGAACACACGTACCGAATCTATACAGACTCACACGGATTGTTTTGAGCACGCTGGGCTCGCACAGGTTGTGCTTTTATGCACGAATTGTGCTGGACACGCACAGAGATACACAAAGGTCTTCTGGCAGTGCATACACAATGCTTGATTGTGCATTAGTTGGCTATAAACACGTCAACAGCAAGGATTTACAGATTCGTATGTACCTCAGGACGACACACAGTGCACCTTCACTTGGGTATCTTGGACGCAAAAGGGGACCACGACTCTGACCTAGTCACGCACGAGCAACCCATCCATATCTGTCACGAATAGTACATACATCATGACAACCTACCCCAGGAAGGCACTCTTTGTGTGCTACTACGACGTGGTTACCCCCACGTTCACACGCGTCGGGTAGACCAGACCAAGTCGCTGCTGGAAATGGCCAAGGCCTCACAAAAACAATAATAGACACGTATATAAATTGTGAGAGTGTTTCGCAATTGTTTCGCAACATGCCAAATAATGGTAATTAATGTTAGAATCGGTTCTTTGGAACATGCCTGGGTTTCCTGTTCACAAGTTTAGACTATGGCTACTAGAACATACTTGTCAAGGGACACTGACAGTTGCGTGCGGTGTGGACCTTGGTTGGTAGTATTGCTGCATGCGTGGACGTAGTGTGAGGAGTAGTGGCCTTCTCAGAGTGATACTTGGTGGAGTACTATGTGATAGGTGAATTCCCCGAGGTGGTGTTGATGGTTACGTGATAGTTGTGTGGGAAGCGTCCCACCTAGTGGTGTTGCGTAGACATTGTGTTCTGTTGAATATGACGAGCATCGCAGACGTGTGGACGAAAGCCCGTTGTGCGAGAGATGTATGGGGTGTTGCGGGAAGAATGGCGGATTGTATGGTGGAGTTGTTTGGTGGTGTGGGCAACACCAACCAACACCACCATGAGGTAATATCTCCGTCACAACGAAATTTGATTCACACACAACCGATATGACTTCAGTAACCCCTCACGTCATGATGACTACCTCGTAGTGTTAATGGTTATAATTGCAGCGATGTGCAACCCCTGCATAGTTTACACCCTGCACGGCCCTTCGGTACCCTCCACAATAATTCTAGTCTACAGCATCCCCCCACGCTACATACTGTAATTGTTAAAGTGAATTCTCTAGAAGTATGCGATTCAGTGTGTAGATTGCATATTTGAGTGCGCTACCGGTAGAATACAGAATGCGCATTGTCCATAGGGCTGGGGGGGCAATTATTGTAGAGGGTTCTACAGAGGGGTTCTATAACTTTTGGTTTCGTACATCAAAGGTGGTGCACATCGCTCGCTACAATGGCAGCGATCAAAGCTGAATGACAGCATCGGTGGTGGTGAGCATCTCCGTTCTACATGTGCATACCTAGTGCTCATTGATACTTGAAGTATTACGCTGTAAAGTTAACCTCGCTCAGCGGGCACTTAATGGCCTCACGTTTGTACTAGATGACCTACATATCCATTGTTTTCATCGACGATACCGGTATGGTATCATGTATAGTCTACATAGAATTGAACAATTTTCCAGATTCTGAACGAAAAGTAAGTTCACAAGAGGTACAGTACGTAGTAGTTCATAGTGAAGGGGGAACAGGTAGTATAGGGTTGTTAACGTGGCGAATATTGGACACTAACGTTAACCTTTAATTGGGGGGCGCTATAATGTATCTACACTACTTGTAGTTGTGGCAATGATTGAATAGTTGATAATGTCTGAATACAACATGCAGTCTCCCCCTTGCACTGTTATAAAGCCCTTTCCCAACAAATATTTTACATGCAACACTGTATTACGTGTGGCTGCTCTTGGCTTACATAGTGTAATATGTAGAATATTGC